GAAAGGCCTATCAATTGTGAGCCAACTGGTGACATGGAGCTGCTGCAAAGGGATGAAAGAGCCACATGCAGCTCCAGAGCCGCAGGTTTATGACCCCTCCACTAAGAAATGCTATCAAGATGTTGAGTTCCTAGCAAGGATATCTGGCCTTGCTAATAAACCATCGACTAGGAAGTCATTGCAGAGACTAAAGATTTCCCTCAATAGCTAGTAGCAATTCAGTGAGAGGGCGCCAGGCAGATCGCCTGTTAGAATTGCCAGCTTGTCTATTGGTTTTGCAGACAATGCCCAGACTTACAAAGCCATTGAGAGTTGTGGGCCGTACCAGTTGAAATAAATACGATTTCTAGTGCCAGCTTCCAACAGTTCAGTCTTCTTTTCCATCTATCCAAGAATATGTCTCTCTGAACAAACCGTCTGCCAAAAATCATGTGTTGTGTATTCAGCTAGCCTCCTTGTACATAAGAGGTAAATCTGTCTCCTTTTGAGGCTAAGCATGGAAGGTTTTATTGGGAGAAAGGGAGGAATATACCAGATGATAGAACAGCTTTCCCTGAACCTGGTGCCCTCCAGAGGCAAGCCACCATGGCTTGTGTCAAGGGGAGGGTTTAAGCAGAGCAGATCAAGTGGAGAAACTGCCCTAAATCCACACACCCCCACACACACACTATAATGACTTTGCCATTGAAATCAAAACGGAATCTGTTTTGCCAGCTTTGAGGATCAGTTCCACTAAGCGCCCGTCTGAACAAACTGTGAAGCCCTATGAATCGAAGATAGCAAACATGCAACCCCTTTCCCTTGATCTATTTATTTCTTCTTCTTGAAAGCAGTCTCTCAAATGCATCAACCGATTAGGATCTACCTCAGGTGACTGTAGGAAGAAGCTTAAGGGAAGCAGAAATTAAGAAATCTTCCATGCTAGAGGGCAAGAAATGGGAAACATGATATGACTTTTTCTCTAGCTGAATTTGGATTGCAGTGATGGAGTGATTCCAGATTCAGATTTTTTTTTCCCCAGGTAGAATTTATTTCTGGTAAGACTTTCATGGAGCATGTAGTTTTTCGTCTTCTACTGAATGAGTACATTTTCTAACCCTCTTGACCCTAATACCATCATCTTGGAATGAATCATCTGAGTGAGGCACAGTTTCTTGTAAGTCCCAGCAATCGAATTTCAAAGAAATCCATTTCCACAGCCGTGGAAATAAAGAACCCCTTGTTCCAAGACAAAGATTTATATTTTTGAAACCATCCTGTTATTATATTTGTTACTTCCTTGAAAGACAATATTTTGTCCTGCAGCCCATCAGATTGTCTTCGGAGTGCATGGGGAAAAGGTGGCTTGTCTCAGAGATGTTGGGCTTTTTTTGGGGAATATCTTAGAAAAGCTGGAAAAACGGAGCCAATGTGGGGTAGTTCATTAGAACAGGAGTTGTGGAATCTGTGACCTTCCTGAAGTTGTATAACTACAATCCGGAGCATTTGAGAGAGCAGTTAAACGTGTGGGTGGATTCAGGATGCCCCTGTGTAGGGTCAAAACAGAGTTTCCAAACCTAGACAAACTTCAAATGTGTTTGACTTCACCTCCAGAGTTTTCTGCTGTGGCCATATTGGCTAGAGAATTTGGGGTGCTGAAAGTTATACATCTGTACGTATCTATTTTTAAAGGTACTTGCATTGTAATGCTTTAAATTTTCAATTTTTCCCCCCCAAAAAAGAAAGTCATACATCTGAAAGTTGCAAAGCTGAGAAAAACTGGATTAGATTGAATTGGGCTAGTATTGGTGGATAGCTTTTGTGGATTCGTTTTCTGTCATTTTTTTCTCATTTTAATCAACCTGAAAGATTGTTGTGGGAGTAAAATAGGACCAGGAACATAAACTGTGTATTGATCTTTGGAGAGAATGTGAGCCATACATCTCTTCTGCCCCTTTCTCCTCTATGTTTTCAGCGCATATTGACAGAGACTATTGTACCAATGAAGGAGGATATTTGTAGCTCAAGCCTGGTCTGGGGAATGCAACATCTGCAAGAAAACCACTCCAGGGACCCCTCAAAGCCAAAATGACTTTGTGAGGCATCATTCAGATATCTTTATTTTCTGCTATTATCTCCAAAGACACTTCTTTCCTGCTATGTATTCAAAATGAACGTATATAACTTGGCACGTTTGGATGCTGTGGCTGTTATTATATTATTGCTGTTATCTTTGGGGTGGTGACACAGTTCGTGGGTGGAATTTTTTCATTCGAGAGCGTAGATTGGAATTTCATTTTAATGTGTTCCTTTGTGTATGCAAAAAAATGACAGTAAAGGATATCTTATCCTATTACTACTTTGTCCTCATTGTCCATGAAATCAAATTTAAAAAAATCCTTTTATGAAAATATGTGCCTTTTTAGAGCTAAATTTCCTCTTTGCACAAACTATTTTATCACCTATTTCACGTCACATGCTAAGCCATGACGTGGTTTGTTTGCTTTCGCGTAGTGTGATATGTGAAACTCGGCAGTTGTTAAATATTCACCAAGCTATAGCTAACCAAACAGTAGTTTAGGACAATGCTCTGTTTGCAAGAAAATTTACCCCTGCTAGCTAAACCATGATTTAATCAAAGAATCCAAATTCCTGGACTTGAATGAGACACAAGGCCATTAACTGCAGTCTAAGTTCACACAGCATACCAGATTTTTTTTTAAAAATGTTATTTTGTGGTCCAGCATCCTATGCGATACTGCCCAGATTTCAGATATGTTGGCTATATAGTCCCAAAGGTGCTTGTTCAAAAGGCAACTGGATTTTCTTAGTTTTTCCTTGAAGACATTTCACTTCTCACCCAGGAGCTTCTTCAGTTCTGACAGAATGGTGGAGAATGAAAGGATTTTTTTCCCTTGCAGTCATCTGGTCGTTAGTCCTCTCTCTGCGGCTCATTGAGGTCACTTGGAGGTTTATCTGTACCGGAGAAGAAGAATTGAAGAAGCTTCTCGGATAAGAAGCGAAAGGTCTTCAAGAAAAAAAGAAGAAGCTCCAGTTGTCTTTTGAAAAAATTACCTTTGGGACAACCATGACTTAGATCAGTGTTTCTCAACCTTGGCCACTTGAAGATGTCTGGACTTCAACTCCCAGAATTCCCCAGCCAGCGAATGCTGGCTGGGGAATTCTGGGAGTTGAAGTCCAGACATCTTCAAGTGGCCAAGGTTGAGAAACACTGTACTAGCACCTTACTCCAGCCTTTCCAATACAGGTAGTCCTCAACGTACAACAGTCCATTTAGTGACTGTTTGAAGTTACAACGGGATTGAAAAAAGTGTCTTATGACTATTTTTCACCATTATGACTGTTGCAGCATCCCTGTGGTCATGTGAACAAAAT